CCCCCCCATCTCTTCCTGTTATTTACTGAGTTATTAACCTCCCTGCATCAACTTCTTTGCGCTATCACGTTTTAATTCTTGATTCGTTAATAGACGTGATCTCAAATTTGCTTTACGTTAATGACTCCCCCCTCTCCTTTTAATATAACAAAGCATTTTAGAAAGTGAGTTTCATTTAAATGGATTTGACACTATGCTCATCACTATGTTATCTCGTTGACTATCTGTCTCCGAGTGAGATAAAATCGACAACAAAAAGTAAGTTGATTGTGAAATGATCTTGTTAATACCATTAGGGAGGAACCAAATTACAAAAAGAACGAAAGGGACTCAGTAAGAAGTGGGTATAATCTGCTAACCTCTGATCCTACTGGCGATGACCAATGTTCTGTTATGGCTGCTGGTTCATGGAAGCATTGGCATTACACAAAATTGAAATGGTTTAGTGTACCTCTATTTCCCAATGTTGGGTGTGGTTTGTACACTTGTACCTAGAGATCGAAATTGATTAGTCCACTCTCAAGCATCACTATATTCCCATTAGGGGTGGGCGAACCGAACCGAACCAAAATTTTCGGGTATCTAGTAAATGGAACTGTCGGGTCCAAATATAATTATGGAACCGTTCGGATTCGGTTCCGTTCGGTTCAATTCGGTTCCGTTCGATTCTGTACTATAATTAAATTTTTTTAACATTTATAACAACATTATATAAATACAACTAATGATACATTCAATGGTTTTGAAATGCCAGAGACTAATAGACTACCTTGTTCAAATGATTGCTACGGTCAAAGTTTCGGTCGGCGAAGGTCGCAGCTTCGATCGAAGGTCATGGCGTCGACCGATGATTGTATAGGTTTTGGAATGTTAACGAGGCTACGAGAGTCGAGACAACGTTATGCACTTTAGTGTAGGCGTTTAGGGTTATTTAGTGGATTTGATATTGTTGGGCTAAGAAATGAAATAATAAAATGGGTAATTGGGCCAAAAATTAAAAAAATTAGAAATGAAACAAATTATTGGGCCAAAAATTTGGATTTCGAAATTGTTAATTTGTTTAGAAAAAATTAAAATAATTTGATTTACTAAATATAAAAAATTTTCTTAGAAAGATTCGGTTCTTATTCGGTTTTTCGGTTCTTGGTCTAGAACCGAGAACCGAACCGTACCTGTCGGTTTTCAATTCAGATGCCCGTTCGGATATTTAATTTGACAAGAACCGTCGGGTTCAGTTCGGTTCGGGTTCGGTTCGGTTCGAGAGATTTGCCCAACCCTAATTCCCATTGATCTGATTTTGGATCGATTGTATTTGTTTCGCCTTTAGTTGACGATTAATCTTAATTAGAATTTATTGCTGTTAGAGTTTTTCACATTTAAAAATATAAATTGATAATTTAGTTCTATATAATTCTAACAATAGCATGTGATAAGAACCTTCGTGAGTTCATGGGCAAAAATATAGTTTTCGTATTGTTTAATTGATGAAACAATGATGGTACAAAACTGTTGTAAATTATGGTTTTGTTTGGCCCACATTAAATTAAATTTTATTGTTATTTTTCTTATTTTTAATCACACAATATTTCATATAATGGGGGTGTTTGAGAAACATTTTTCTGTAAAAATTCGTTTTAGAATAGTAATTTGATGGGAAGTGTGTGGTTGAGAAATAAGGAAAAGTTTTTTATTTATATGTAATATTATTTTAATAAAGAATGTGTGGTTGAAGAGAAGAGAAAAAAATACATTTTGAAAAAAATAGGTACCAAACGGGGGCAATAATATTATACATAAATTAAAAAAAATTCATTCTTTTTCAGTCATTCATTTTCCAAAAAATAAATAAATAAATAAAAAATACTATTACACTCATTTTAATTTGGAAAAATGGGGGCCAAAGGGTCTATAAATATTTTTTTTGAATTATTATTTGTTTAGAAATAACATTTAAAATAAGACATTGTTATGAGAATAACGTGATATTTAGCCATTGTTTGAGTCTCATTTTTTAAGAGTGTATTGATATGAAATGTGTGGTTAAAAAATAAAAAAAAGTTTTGAATTTGCATGAAATATTATTTTATTGAAAAATGTGTGATTAAAATAATGTCAAAACACAATTTAAGAACACATTTTTTTCAAAGAATGGGGCGCAAACAAGGACTTAACAAAGTTTAAGCAGTTATTGTTATTAACGTCTGATTGTGAAACCATGGTAAAAGAACGAGGATCAACTTGTTCTTTTTTAATAGGTTGGAGATTAACTTGATACTAAGACAATAGATTAGGGACCAGTAGTGAAATTTCAAAAAGAAAAGAAAAATCATGTACGTGGCAAGTTGCTCCAGTTTTATACAGTTTGAAGTATAATCGTACTAATTTGTACTTGTCGTTTCATGGGTCCTCCGCAAATGTGATTTAGCTCAAGAAATCAATCGAGAATTAGCAATGGTTAGGAATTGTTAAACTTCCTACTTCTCTGATTTCTCAGTCTTCCCTTTACACTGTGATTTGCTATTTCTTGAGAAAGAATTCAAGAATCTGAAATGGGTAAAGTTAATTTTTTTTAGTTTATTCATTTTTAATTTCTGAGATAGTGATCTTTGTTATGCTTTTCTATGATATGATTTTTCGAACATTGCGAAATGTCTGGATATTATATACTGTGTTTTGATTTTTTGTTATTGCAGAGGAAGTAGAAAATGAGGTAAAGACAGAAAAGGTAATGGAAGGGGTGGCGTCAATAGCCCTTTTACCCAATGGGTCCATTTCTGGCCATTTTATTCAGCTTCCCAATTCCATCTGCTATGGCCTCCATGGCACTGGTACAGTTTTGTCATTCAATTAAGTAATGGGATCGATTACACTTCAAAATATGTTTCTTGGGCCTCTGTGTAATGTATGTTTTGTTTAATACATTAGTGTTCTTCATAATATGTGTGGACGTTTGTCCTCAATTACTCAGGATGAACAAGCCCTTTTTTCTGTATGTGTAGTGACTTCAATTAACTTTACAGTATTACTCAGTTTGGAGAACTGAACTGGAAGAAAAGGTGGAGCAAAGAAACAACTGTATAGTCGGTTGTATATCTATAAATAGAAACTATTTTCTCTTACAGCAAGTTTGTATTTGTATATTTTCTTAATTCACCATTTGTTTCAGTCATTTATATTCTCGTCAACCTGGATAACTGTCGAGTAAGAATTCAAGAATACTGGTGATGGAAATAAACATTCACTGGTGTTGCCTATCAGGATACTTTATATATCAGTTATTAAGCTCTATATCATCATGTGCATGTTAGTGTGCGAGTACAGGAATAACAGGTTCATAATGTTTGTTTTATGTTTTACTGAGAAAGACAACATTGTGCCTTTCTATATTTACTCATTCATTTTTTTCTTTTGTGTTTTCTATAATGGTTAAAGAGCTTGACTGTGAAAGGGAATGCAGCAGGGGTGAGGATTACCGCTTGATAAAGCTTACAGTAACAGACTACAATGTCAGCGTCATTTGCTACTTTTCTTTTTAGTTCATGAAATCGTTTTTGTTTGTCATTTTAGTTTGATGAAAAGTACAAACTCGTTTTGGTGAAATATTTAATCAATGTAACAGAGTAAGAAAGAAAGGAATGTGGTGGTAGAGTGCAGAGGACATGATGCTGCGAAGATAAGTAAAATTGAACATGCTCATGGGTAAGCCATCTTTTAAGAATACATATACACATGTATACATTGAAGATGCACGTGTGTTTGGGTGTGTCATATGTAGTGTTTAGTATTGGCTAAGGATATATGGCAGTTGCTTCCATTAATACTATAATCTAAGGTACTTCGATAGCCTCTAGATTAATCATGGTTTTGTAACCTCCTTTGATGTGTCTTAAGACGTGTTTGGTCATATTAAAATAAGAAATGAGCCAACAACTCGAGGATAAATTAAGGAATGACGACTTAGATGAATGAGACATGTCTTGCATAGATCTAAAGGAGCTTCTAATGCAATCTCTATCAAAGAAAAACCAAAAGAGGGATGGATAGACCAAACTAATATGGTCCATCGTAGTTGCTAAGGATCTAATTGCTTTAGATTCTGCATTATATCTAGCAATGAACCGAATAGAGCACATAAAAAATATTCATTGTAGCCAATTGCAAATTTATTGAGAATGAGGTTTAGTTTGGTGTTATTTCATACTATCTGAATGAATGTTGCATGGTAGATGGGTGAATATTGAGTTTCTATCAATATATACAAGGCGTAATATATGCACAGATTATTATCAGGGGTTTAAAAATGGACACTCTCTTTTTTCCAGCACTGTCCCTTGGCTTAGCTGCTTCCTTATTGTGTTCATTTAATAACAGGTGGCAGAAGGATGTTGTGGGTATGCTTGAAGAGAAGCGTGAAAACGACCAGGTCTCAGTTTCTTTTGAATGTGAGACACTGAAAGCCGATAAAGCAGCCGAGGAACATATCCGGAAGTTCATGCCTAAGTTAGTTGGGATGGACGCTGTTGGTAAGAATTACAAGCACATTCTAAGCTTTTGAATGTTAAAAGCTGTCTATTTGCTTTGAAAAACTAGATAATGGTGAAGGTTAGTCTTAACTGGTTTTCACGTTATTTATATGCCATTACTAGAAGTTCTTGAAAAGCTCAAACCTAGGATTGATTACTATTCCGAAAGTAATTTCGATGTCCTACCTGTAATATAGATGTTTCAATATTGATGCCCTAGAGATAGAAAGAAAAGATAATAAATTTCTACCTCTCAAAATTTCTCTCAGAATTTATTTCAACTATGGTCTCTGTTGGCTTGCATGTGTGAACCCCAAAATTGTTCGTGACTGTCTGACTGATCAAGTCTTTTTGCTTAGATCTTTATTGACTTATTTATGTCTATGAACCCAAAATCATACATTTGGTTATTCTCTCCCTATTCCCCACCCCCTGGTGTGCGCAGTTGTGCCCCTTAATACTATTGGATGATCCATTTAGCTCTTCCCTTACTCCTCCCCCATGCGGCCAGGGGATAGTATACTTTCCATGATGATTCTTGATGGTTGAGAATACTAACTAGAAGTCTGCTCTTGCAGTTAACATTGGCCCAATGAGCATCACCGGGGTGGACTTTGAAGCAGAGGCTGAACAGGAGCACAATCAGCAGAATACGTGATGTTGATGCTGCCCTACTCGTCTAAAAGTTATCGATGTACACCCTACTCGTCTAAAAGTTATCGATGGTTCTGTACACTCGTCCAAGACTATATACTGCATACTTGTGGGCTCGATTGCAGCGTAGCCACATTTCGATTCAGTAGCTCCCATATTAATATTACTATTGGCGTGTCTGGTTGTTCACTTTGTCGTGTTCAGTATTTTATGTCAAAACATGTCTTCAAATTTGCTAGAGTAACACAAATGATGACTTTTGGTGCAGCAATTGCATCTTTGGCTGAGAGGAATCGAACAATATTGAAAATAAATAAATAAATAAATTCCTTTCCAACACTGAATAATAACACATGCATTGATAATAATTCTTTGTATGTCAAATTAACAAGAAAGTAAGCTAGCTTTTAAATAATGACAAATAATTAGTGTCAAATGTTAAAATAGTCTCATTCAAATTCAACTTCTGAAGGTCATACACGGATACAGTATACATGGTTTCCATGAAGATCACTGTGAGCAGCAATAGTTAAAACGGAATGGTTATCAGCAGCACTCGAATCTCGACTAGTATGCCAATAGAAGAAATAGATTCCAAAGCAGCACAATCT